ATACTGATAACTTGAAATTTACTGTAATTAAATATTTGGTTATAGCTTATATCACTTAAAGCATAGCTTTGAAGCAGCTAAGAATTTTATCCAAAATGTTAATAAGATTTAATTTTTAATAAATTATTATAGGTTTTGAAGACCTACGGTTTAAATTTTAACCTAAAATCCTTTCACTTTAATATAATACTAGTAAAAAATAGGATAAAATTAAAAGGAATATTCTAACCTTTCTATCGTACACCCCCTTTACCTTTTTATTAAAGATTTTAGGTATTAAATTTAATATTAAATAAATAGATCAAACTATAATCATGCGATAATAGTAGTAATACCCTACCCCTGATAGTAATAAAAGTATTACTACTATTATCGCATGATTATTGATAAGACTAATAACCCCGACTAACTTCATTAAAAAAATATTAGAGGGCGGAAACCCCGACACAGAAAACAACAAAATTATTAGTAGACTAATTCCTATTACTTTATATATTAACAAATAATTACCTTTTGCATTAATCACCCTTAAAACTATTACCCCAAAATTTTTTACTCTAAAAATTAGAAAGATGTACATTCCTCTAAATAATAAAAAATAAAAACTCCTCTTCTTACCAGTAAAACTATCCACACTGACATCCCAATCGAAGAGTACACTATAATCATTATAAAACTTCTCGTATAAATCGGCGCTAGTGATCTGATTAGTGCTCTTAACCCTAGACAAACCATAATTGGTTTGTCTCAAGATCAAAAATAAGAGGCTGGCAGTTCTTTGTACCAAATAGTACAATAATAAACAGGAATTAACTTTTGCAATGTAGACATTGGTACAAAGAACTGCCAGCCTCTTATTTTTGATATAATGAAAGCAGGATTGGCACCCATACATAATTGGTTTGTCTCAAGATCAAAAATAAGAGGCTGGCAGTTTTTTGTACCAAATAGTACAATAATAAACCAACATAGGACTCCAACCCCTCCCCCAAAATAACAAAAAGTAAAAATAAAACTAAATTTAATGCTAACCCCTGCCAAAAATAAATAAATGAGCTAGATCTAAATATTCACAAAATATTCCCTAATCATATTACTCGTAATATAGCTATTAAAATTTATAAGGGATTTTATAATCATATATGAGGTATGAACCCATAAGCTTTTAATCTTTAGCTTACCTTATTAATATATAAAGTGTCTATAAATTTAAACACTGCACGATTTTTAATAGTGGTTTTAATTAAGAATTTGAATCTTAATTTGATAGTATCTATCCTCACTATTTATACCGCCACTAACTATGCCTAATATAATTATTATAAGTAAATTTGATAACTCAAGCTGTAAACTTGAGTAAGACTTTATACCGTCATTTACTATGCTACCTATTTAATAAAAGATTATATATTATAAATATATAATAAGTTGAGTTTGTAACTCAAAGATACTCCTTAAGAGTTTTAATCAATTTTTAAAGGAAGATAAAATGAGTCTTATCTCAAACCCCCAAAGTTTGTATTTTTTAAACTACCTTTAATATATTAAATTTACTAAAACAGCTGTCTCTACTCTTAGAAGAACTAAGAGTACCCCTAACCCTAAAGGGTGTGATATATATCTTAATATTAGTATATTCTGGTATCCTAAGATGATATATTAATATTTATGCATTTAACGCCCTCTTATGGATATATATTTGCTTAATTTTAAAATTTATAAATAAAATTTGAGTTGTAATAAGGTAGTAAATATTTTTTTTTCCAATAATATTAAGTAAAAATAGAATTATAAATTATTTGAGATTTAATCTCAAATTTTGATTGATTATGATTCATTGCTTTTTAGCAGTGCAGTTTAGCAAAGCAGTATTTAGTCATACCCCCCGAAACTGATTTCAAAAATTTTACTTTATGAAACCTAATAGAACACTTTACAAATATTTAAAAACTGATTTGGCTACAAATTCTAAGAAAAAAGATTTATTTCGTGTTTTCGATAATGTTTTGGAATTAAATTTTTTAGAAACTTTGCTTTACTAAAATCACTTATAACTAGCACTTTAGGGCAATTCAGTATAAAATTTTACATACATATTTTTAATATAAGAAAAATTTTTGTACTATCATTTATTTAAAAAAAATCCTCTATAGTGGAGTTTCTATTGTACTATTATTATTTATTTTAAAAAATTATTTATAGTTAGTGACGTTGTTGGTGTATTTACTAATATATCTTTGTTTGGTATAATCTAGTTTCCCTTTGGATCCTGTTAATTAATATAAGGCCGATTGAATTAAAAACTAGGTGGACAATGGCAGCTAGCACGTTAACATCATCGTATAGATTTGAAAATCTAATTTATAAAAAATGAGTATTTATTATAAGAAAAGAATACCTCTTTAAAAATTCATCAAAATTTAAGAAATCATTTGTTTTTAAGTTAAAATAGATTTATCTCAGTATTTTACCTTTAAGTATAAGCCCAACGATATACTCATATGCAGATGTAAAAGACATCTGTCTATTATTAAAGACTCATTCATTTCTTGTAAATTAACCAGAATTATTGCCCGGAGATAATGTCTTTATCAGATTGATAAATGTGGAATTATCGACCAAGAAATTGGCTGAACTATATCAATTATAAAATTGATTTACTATATCAGCCGAATTTTGAGAAAGACCTAGTACTGATGTAGGATTTTTCAACTTAGTTTGAGTTAAATTTGATTTTGATCCAGCCTTTTCGAATACATAAATTATTAAGATATTTTCTAATCTCGAAAATTTGACAGTAATAATTTTTGTAAAATTAAAATTTATTATAATACTTTTAGATGTTTTTTAGATTGAAGCTGCTTGATTTATTGGGTAATATTATTCTCTGCCATTTTATACACGGAGTTTAAATCCTGTAGTAATTACTTTATTGAGTTCAAAGTGTTTTGCAAAATTAGGATAAGGAAATTTCACAATATTATTTTTAACAAAATTTTATTGTCATCTATCTCAAATTCTCTTCCATATCAATCACTCGGGATTTTAAATTACTTGAGAAATTAGAAATCAGATTTTAAAATATAATTTTTATAATTAAAAGTTAAATATAAAGATTATAATTTTAAAATTAATTATGAAATGATAGATAAATTTTACTAATTTTTATAATGTATTTATTATATAAAATATAAGTAGCGAAATATTGCACTATTTGGCTACTCTCCAAAAATAGCGCGCTATCGCTATTTTTTTTTAAAGTAGCACGCTATGTGGCATTTTTTTAAAAATTGCTTGATCAGATGATGAAGAAGAAACTATATTGCCTTTTTGAACACCGATATTCAATATGGATGATTTTTTTTTCTTCCTAGACTAAAGGTTATATTATAATATAAAAATATTAAGCTTCATAAAAAAGTAAAGAAAAATCAAGATCTTAATTCTGATAGTGAAATTAGAGCATCAACAACTAATGTTTTTGTAAATATCATCTTTAATTTTTTTAGATACTGACTAACATTAGAAACCAATACATATTTTATACGCCTTAATATTGTTTTCCAAGAGAACCACAACACATCTCGTATAACACAAGGATTTTTTTTAAATTTCAGCCCTAATTTATCTTGTGTTTTCCTATATCATATAAATTACCATTGCCAGCTTAGACTTAGACCATTCCTGCATTCCACAAAGATTACCTTTTAACATTTGTGCCATCGTGAAACTTTGTCACATATATAATTAATGTAACTTGTTTTAGTTTTTTACTTGTAGTAGATAAAAATAGCATGTTTATTTTGACAATTCATTTATATGTTAATTTATTTTTAAACTCAGATCATAGAATTATTTTTAAAATTTTTATGCAATTGAATTGCTTCTTGGATATAAATAAATTGATATCTATGAGAAGCTTCTAAAAATGGCGAAATTAAAACTTGTATTTTTCCAAAAAAATAATCCAGCGCTTTTCAAAATTTTGAACGGGCTCGAACCCTCAATAAACACCTCTAGTGACGTCAGTGTTAAATTTAAACAATATTATAATGATTTTCATGGGAGTTTATGATATAAAAAAAAATCAGGATTAACACAACATATAAAATTATTTATAATAACAAAATTTGGCAATTAAATTTTTTTCTTTTTAGCTTTCACATTTTACTTATAATATATAAAATATATTTAAATGTGGTACAATATTAAAAAAAAATTTTGAATAATAAGCTAATAATGATTTAAATTAATAACAAAAAATAAAATTGATTTTGTGATTTGAGTTACTTTGATTTAATCATATCAACCCTGTGACACCTTTTCATAATATTTATCACTTTTTTAAAATCGGTATCAATAAGGCGATTTACTGTGTACAGATCAGCATCTTTTACTTGTACGGGATGTTATTAATCTGTTTTTTCTTTGAGAACTGGCTTGGCCGAAGATTTATGAAAATTATATTTTTCAGCCTGCTATTTATTTTGTAAATATTCCTGAAAACCAGCTAAATAAATTTAATTAGTATGAAAACCATTTAAGTTTTTTTTTACAGAGATGCATCGATACCAAAGCTACAGATTACATCTTTAAGGGCACTAAGAGTTGAAATCCTGACAATTTACTAATAAAAAATTATATTTTATTTAATGCTTAAAAAAATCAAAAATTAAAAAACGAATTATTTTTTTCTTATTTTATTAATTCCTTTTGTTGTTATATGAGATTTAGAGAGAGAAAGAAATTAAAATATTAGATAAAAATTTATATTTTTGACTTTTAAATTGGTGTATGTTTTTTAATATTCAAACAAATATTTATCGATGCTAGATTGATCAGCCAGTGGCATGCGTAAAAGGTTAAGGTATCAGTGCATTTCTGGTTTATATTAAGTGAACGAAGTATAAATTATAAAAGCTAATTATTATATGCGAGCTTTGGTTAAGTTTTACTCAAGTTAATAAAGCATATATTATTTCATAAAATTTTATATACAGGGGTTTTGTTAGTGGGTCCTCCTGGGACCGGTAAAACGTTATTGGCTAGAGCTGTTGCCGGAGAAGCCAATGTACCCTTTTTTCATGCCGTTGGAAGTGAATTTGATGAAGTTTTAGTTGGACAAGGAGCTAGGAGGGTCAGGAATCTCTTCGGTTATTTTTATATTAATTTACCTATTTGAGATTTTGGTAATCATAACTGCCCATTATTTTGTGAATTTTTCGATTCCGAAAAATTGCCTACATATATTATTTAATATACACTATTTTAGGTCCTGAAATTTACCGTCGATTTGGATATAATACAAATAATTTGAAGATAGGTTTTGGAAGTATGTGTTGGGAATTAAAATTTATTTCTTTTCTTTTTAAATGTTTTTACCTTCCTTATATATTTGACTATTTATAGAAAATGCTTTCAGATTGAACTAAGAATTATATTTAGTTTCTGTTATCAATTATTATTGGGTCATTTCATTTATCTACTCTATATGGCCAACTCTCTTTGTTTTTTACGAATTTTTTTTATACAAACTAATAATCGGATAATCTATTTAGGCAAAATTTAGCCCTTCAACTCTTAACCTTGTGGAGATCAAGGGTAAAAGCATAAAATATGGTACACGCTTGTAAATAATAAATTTAGTATTAAAAACATATATTTTAATATTTTTAAAAAATAAAAATTCTAAATTATATAAAATTTTATCATTCTATATAAATACAAAAAAAAATAAAGATGAGCCTTTGCGATATAGATAAAGACTAGTAAAAAAAAATGAACAATTTTTTATGCTATAGATAATATATTTTATTTTATTCGTTTAAATTGATTAGTGTTATTTTTTTGAATATAATGATTGAAAGGTTTCCAATGTCTGGCTTGTAGACAAGGGTTAGGTTTTAGACCCACATCTCTAACATAGAGATATGGTATAGGTTCTATTGATTGATACTATTTAGATATGGCGAGAGCCTAAAGTTGGCCAGGGTTTTCTTACAAAAGTATAATGCTATATTTCACAATTATTTACATTTGCACTCTTTCGCACTCCAATATAACTTTTGGAATCATAATTTTTAATTTTTTTATTTTGTTCATATAAAAAGCCCATTGATTTTTTGGAATCCCGGAAAATAATTCCCCGGAAAAAAAATCCCGGAAAAAAATTCCTGGAAAATAAATCCCCGGAAATTAATTCCCCGGAAAAAAAATCCCCGGAAAATAAATCCCCGGAAATTAATTCCCCGGAAAAAAATCCACAGGAAAATAATTCCCCGGAAAAAAATTCCCCAGAAAATAATTCCCAGGTAAATAATTCTCCGGAAAAAAAATCCCCGGAATAAAATTCCCCTGGAAAATAATTCCCCGGAAAAAATTTCCCCACTATACATTGAATTGCTAATGCATTGCTAAACTGCATTGCTAAAAGGCAATCAATCATAATTAATTATAAATCAATCATAAATTTATTACGTATATTTTTTTAATGATAATTTTTTAAACTTTTTTTAAAATATATTTAAATCATTTTTTTATTATAAATGAAGAATACTGATTAAATGATATAGTATATAATTTTTTTTTTATTTAATATTATTAATAAGAAATTTATTTTTCTAGCTTATTAAAACAAATATACATTTTATTCAATTTTAAAAATTAACAAATATATATCCGTAAGAGGGCGTTATATGTTTTAATATGTATCATTTTAGGAAACCGGAATGATGATTGGATAGCATTTTTTTTATATTTGGGTATATATATACATATGAAAAACCTAAAAATTAAAAATTTTTTTTAGGTTTCTTTGATGTTTAATGAGTAGGTTTAGAATAGTAAAACAATGGAAATTTTTTAAAGTAAATATTGCTGGCGTTATTTATCAAAATCTCTTCATTTTTGTTTTATACGTGTATATTTACGTGCTAAGCATTATTCTAAAAAATATTTTGAAAATAATTTGATTTGACCGATTGCCGAGCTCAAAATCGATCACTCACTAAATATTCGATTGACCAAATTTATTAGGAATATAATTTGAAAAATGTTGATTTTCGTTTTATATATCTATAAATACGTATAAAACATAATCCTAATAATTCTTCAGAATTAATTTTATCAAAATTTTTAAATATTTTATTTGAGAATTATTATTTCGTTGATTTATTTATAGGGAATTTTTTCTCCTAATTTTGTAATTTTAATTATCTTAAAAACGGAGATTTTTTTTCCGGGGAATTATTTTTCTAGATTCTTTTTTAATATAGCTTACATTTAATATATTTATTGTAGCTTTCGTTCTCTTCGCTACACTGCACAAGGTACGATTCCCAAACAATTTATTTTAAATGAAATAGTTACATTTCTCATATTTAAATAAATATATTATGCTAAGCTAACCTATCTCATATTTTACTTTTAATAAACCTTTTATCGGTCCGTTGTCTCACCCCCTCCTTCATTATTATATAGGATTTAACTTGTAATATACAATAAATTTATTGAATTTAAAACAAATTAAACAATAACATAAAATTTATCGAATTTAAAAACATTTAATGGTAAATCTAAATATATTTCCGCGAATATGAATTTGATGATTTATTTTCAAAAAAGATACTCTAGCAGTAGTCCGCCAACATATTTATACGATTCTTGCCGGGAATTTAAATTGAAAACTTAAGACCCCCCAAAACGAAATTCTTTACCATTTTTCTCAAAAAGCAATCGATAAAAAATTATAAAAATTAATAAATTTATAAGGAAATATAAATCTAACACTATCACCAATTTTCAGGGATTTTCATTTGATACTTTTTAAAATATATCCCTATTACCATTTTTGAGATTTCGAAAAGTTGCCTTTATACGATAATAATTTTAAAACTTGACGTGAAGGGAAAACTTAGAAAACGAATTCGAACTCAATGTCAAATTCTGCACCAAAACTTGTTTTTATTTATTTTTTCTCCCATTTTTCTTGCCACACAGTACATTTAATAAGATAAAGACATAAATATTAAATAAAACCTATACAATAATTTTAATCTATATTTTTTCAACTATTTAGGTAGAGATATCAACATCCAAGGATGTTTTTATCATCTAACTCAATCAACTCATAGAAAGATTCAGGAATTGGGGTTAGAATCATCATATCGGAATGATCCAATGTTATGCTTATTTGCAGCTATGATCGATGGATTAGCATTCTTACCTATACACGATGTCAAACGAGGTATGGAATATTTAAAAACCATTGTATCGGATGAAAACAAAGAATTATTGTTTTATTTTGATAAAAATTATGTGAATGGAGAATTGAGACATGGGAAAAACTCTCAAAGGCAAGTAGAGCCATTGTTCCCACCAGAAACATGGAATGTGTTCAATGTTACGATTGCTGGGGAAAATCGAACAAACAATGTATGTGAAGGATGGAATAACCGATTTAAGCATATTGTAGGCAACAAAAAACCGAAGATATGGGAACTACTCGAAAAAATAAGGATGGAAATAGCGGTTGATATGGGAAAAATCGGCCAATGGAATATTGGGACATACACTCCCAAAAAAAATCGTATTTATGCAACGAAACAAACTATTTTAAAAAATTTATGCATTGATTATTTAGAAGAGAGAAGGGACTTGCCCAATTTTCTCTCTTCAATTGGAGAACATATACGTTCTAGAATTGTTTCTTTTGAATAATATAATTTATTATTCTATATATCATTTAATAAAATTATAATTATTTCTTTTCTGTAACTTTTGAAAAAAATTCATAAGCAAAATAATAATTGTTAGATTAGTAAAATATAATACTCACTGCTGATAATCACCTCTGGATGTATTTAGATTAAAGTGGTCAGCATTTTTCATTACTTTTGGCAGTATTTAATTAAAATTGGGCAGTAAAAAATATAATTTTGTAAGTTTTATAGTGATTTTGTATTCAGTCAGTTAAATTCTTAAAGTAGGATACTTCAGTAAAATAATATTTATCAAATAGAGGGTATCAGATTGAATTGCTAATTTCCTATTTAGCCACAAAATTTATAAAATTATATTATTTAATAGCTTATCCTTGTAAAAACAAAAAGGGGCGCTATTTAAGAGTCAGTAAACTGTGAAAAGCCTTTTATCATATTTCTAAAAAAATGATTAAAATTTGTGTAAAAATAATTTTTCAATAAATACCTAAAAGTTGATGAAAGTGTGTAAAGGTGAACTATATTTATTTAACTTTCGTTTTATTATTTAAAATCTCAAATCCTCGAAGAAATTTGACTTTAAAAAACATTTCTATTTAATTAAATACTGCAGAGCAGATCCGGGTCACGGGATTTTTTTTCAGGGGAATTATTTTCCTAGATTCAAATTTACTAGTAATATAATTTGAAAATTGTTCATTTTTGTTTTATATATCTATAAATACATATAAAACATAATCCCAAAAAATATTTTAAAAATATCGTGGTTTGGCGGATAACCGACTCGTATATGTTTTACTCGTAATTATAGATATATAAAACAAAAAATGAACATTTTTCGAATCAACTAGTAAATTTTATCAATCGAATATTTAGTAAGTGGGGTTTTGAGCTCGGCAATCAGTCAAATCAAATTATTTTCAAAATATTTTTTAGGATAATGCTTAGCACGTATATATATACGCGTATAATACAAAAATGAAGATTTTTCCATGGATAACGCCAGCAATGCAGTATTTGGTCATTCGGTCGGTTTTCGGGTCAAATCACGATATTTTTAAAATATTTTTTGGAATTATGTTTTATACGTATTTATAGATACATAAAACAAAAATCAACATTTTTCAATTTATCTTAATAGCAAATTTGATCAATCAAATATTTAATAAGTGGTCGGTTTTGAACTCGGCAATCGGTCAAATCAAATTATTTTCAAAATATTTTTTAGAATAATGCTTAGCACGTAAATATACACGTATAAAACAAAAATGAAGAGATTTTGATAAATAACGCCAGCAATATTTACTTTAAAAAATTTCCATTGTTTTACTATTCTAAACCTACTCATTAAACGTCAAAGAAACCTAAAAAAAATTTTTAATTTTTAGGTTTTTCATAATAAAAAAAGTGCTATCCAATCATCATTCCGGTTTCCTAAAATGATACATATTAAAACATATAACACCCTCTTACGGATTTATATTTGTTAATTTTTAAAATTGAATAAAATGTATATTTGTTTTAATAAGCTAGAAAAATAAATTTCTTATTAATAATATTAAATAAAAATAAAATTATATACTATATCATTTAATCAGTATTCTTCATTTATAATAAAAAAATGATTTAAATATATTTTAAAAAAAGTTTAAAAAATTATCATTAAAAAAATATACGTAATAAATTTTTGATTGATTTATAATTGATAATGATTGATTAATGATACATATTCAAACATATAACGCCCTCTTACGGATATATATTTGTTAATTTTTAAAATTGAATAAAATGTATATTTGTTTTAATAAGCTAGAAAAATAAATATCTTATTAATAATATTAAATAAAAATAAAATTATATACTATATCATTTAATCAGTATTCTTCATTTATAATAAAAAAATGATTTAAATATATTTTAAAAAAAGTTTAAAAAATTATCATTAAAAAAATATGCGTAATAAATTTATGATTGATTTATAATTAATTATGATTGATTGCCTTTTAGCAATGCAGTTTAGCAATGCATTAGCAATTCAATGTATAGTGGGGAAATTTTTTCCGGGGAATTATTTTCCAGGGGAATTTTATTCCGGGGATTTTTTTTCCGGAGAATTATTTACCTGGGAATTATTTTCTGGGGAATTTTTTTCCGGGGAATTATTTTCCGGGTATTTTTTTTCCGGGGAATTAATTTCCGGGAATTTATTTTCCGGGGATTTTTTTTCCAGGGAATTAATTTCCGGGGATTTTTTTTCCGGGATTTTTTTTCCGGGGAATTATTTTCCGCTTACCGATTTTTTGAACTCTTATTTTATTTAACGATAATTTATATTTCGTAGTTTATCCATACCTTATTCAATATCATAGTTTCTATATTAAAATATTATATAAATTGTTTATTACACACGTCAAAATTTTAATAGAATTAAATCGTTAGCGAATGTATGTGAGTCAAATTTTTTTTATCATTTTCTATATATTTACAAAATTTTATAAAATTGTTCAGGTCTGAGTCGATTTTTACTACTCATGCAGCATTTTAACAACATTAGGGTTAATATTATATTCATTCAAAAAAATAAAAGTGTATTGCCTATAATAGTTTTTCCTTATAAGCTATTTACTTACCGAGGTTTTTTGTAAAATTAGTATAATATTCAATTTGACCAATTTATAAGGTTGTCTATCTGGCCATTATATGCTAATATTTTTATGGGAAATATATAATGAGTTATTATAAGTTTAAATCTTTTTTCCCGAAATCTTTCTCCTTGCCTATCCCATAAATATTTTAGCCCATCTTGCTGGCTTTATAATACTCTATAGTTCTTTAATTAATTGATAATAGAAAGAAATCAATCAGTACCTATGCCATTTTGTATATTAGAGATCTGCACAGCCCGGCCTAAAATCACATTCCAAAGCCTATATAATTGCTAATTTAAACTAGTATTTATATGGTTTATTTATGAGGTCTGAAAGACTCTACTACATTTTGTGTACTTAATGTATAATAGATAAAGTAATGCTTTTTCAAAATTTTAATCGGAATAACCCGTTTTTCTTTATTACGATTTTATAATTTTGAGCAAAAAAGGACCGAAAATAATATCTATTTATTTTCTATATGAAGTAGAGAGCTGCCGGATCGAAACCTGTAGAGATATATGATTTTAAAAAGGCCGAGCAGGAAATTAGGCTGGGATAATTTTAAATAAAAACTATATTAATTAGTGGAAAAATATTAGAAAATCATATAACAAGATTTTAAAAATCCGCCGGGTCATCAAATGCTTAACAATACGTTCGGACCGGATTTGAAAATGGATTTTTTTTAAATCAAGACTTTGATCTCTGCAGGTCTGATATAATGTATAGGCTTCATGAACTAAATTTATTATATACATTTGAATAATTTGTAATTAATCTAAATTTAAAAAAAAAAGAGTCAGTAAAAGAAAGGTATTTTTTTTATGTTTTACCCTTTACTTCTCCAAAAGTAATAAAGCTAGGAGGCTAAGATTTTGCCTAGAACACCAACCTTAGATTCTATATTAATATTAATAAAAATCTAAAAGGATAGTCCGAAAATCATGTTTTTTGATCGATTAACTGTACCACTATTTTAATCTATAAATTAAGATATCAGCCGATACTAGATACTGTATAAAAAAATGCGTGGTGTTTATATTGGGCGAAAAAAAGTACACAAAAGAAAGAATAATATATTCAAAACCTACCTTTGATTCCAAATTTCAAATTATTTTTCTACTTGGAATAAATATTTGAACGTTTTATTTTCATAATTTACGATCATTTATTATTTAATATATTTTTATTTTATTGGAATAATTAATATATGACAAAATAAAAATCAATTTGATTTAAATCAATATTTAGATTATGAATTAAATAAAGGGATTTTTTAAAAAAATTATTTATTAAAATCAATTTTTGAGCTCAATTTCTAAATATCTATTTCATCCCTTATTTATTTTATTAGTAATATATATTTGATATGGCCTTGTTTTAATTATTTGATTTTAAAACTCGAAAATGATGTTGGGTGTCTAGTAGTGGGTGAACATGTATTTTTATTATTATAATTTTATTAACCTTAACCATTAATCTAAACTAAACAGGAAAAGTAAAAAAGATTAATTCCTCATTTATTATTTAATATCATCTGCGGCCTTCTTATTTTTACTGCCTTTTATATATTTTTTTGAGGCATACAATAATTCGTAATTTATAGTATCTTTTTTGCACATTGCTCGATTCTAATCTTATTTAAAAATTAATCATAATTTAATTTTATAAAATATTTATCATTTAAATTTTTTATAATGGTCCGGACTGATAGATTAAAGACGAACTGAAGTCTGTTTTTAAAATTGGTTCAGTCCAGCCATCGGTCTCTTTAGAAGGTCCAGACTTTTGACCTTCATTGGCATACATGAAAAAGTAAAAGATATAAAATCAATATACTATAATTTGATATTAGTAACCCATGTTATCGGTAAAAGTTAAAAGTATCCGCCGATACCTTCGATATCGGTACATCTTTGCAACACAAATTATCTGGATAATTTCGATTCAATATTATCAAATTATAATCTCGAATTATCATGTTTTATGTTAATATAGCCGCCGCTAAAGAAAAATCGCCTTGTGTGATATTTATTGACGAAATTGATTCCGTAGGTGCAAAGAGAAGCAAATCAGAATGGCATCCATACGCTAATCAAACAGTTAATCAATTATTAGCCGAGATGGATGGGTAGAGATTATACGTTTTTAATTTAAATTTTAATCTTATTTTAAGATAATTTTCTTAATTAGTTTAAAAACGAATAAAATTTTAAATAGGCAATTATATCAAATTATTGGTAAGTCACTGAAACTAGGGGAAATTTTTAATATAATTTTTTTCTATTTATTTGTATTTATTTTTTTAAAATATTATTATTAAAAAATAATTATGCGATCGTGAGGTGATTAGTGTATTTTATTTTCGCCATTATTTGAAGATTTTAATTAATAAATATTAATTTATAATATTTTTTTAAAATTTAACAAATATTTTTTTCCCCTTTTTATGGATTACATAAATTTTACCAAGATCATAATTTCATATACAAGAACCATGGCTTTTTTAAAAGATCATAGCTTTTTCACGCATGTTATAATATCATGAAATTGCAGCATCTTATAGAGTAAGATGCTCAACATGATCAAGCAGCTATTCTACATGAAAGAAGAACAGTAAAATCTTCTTGTCATTTATATTTATATAGTGTAAATTAATTAAATTATTAAATGATATAAATTTATATAGAAATATTTTTGTTTTCCCTTTAAAATATATCTATATAATTATTTATATATTATGTTTATTTAAATAAATTGCTTAATTATCTATTATTTGATTTAATAGTCCTAACTTAGTAACATCCAATATGACTAGGCCTACAAAAAAGCGAAAATTGCGCTATTCGTAAACGTACGAATCGTATAATTTATTATTCGTATTCATACAATAAAATTATTCGATTTGATTCGTCGAATATCTATTCTATTCGAAAAATTTTCTAAAGCTTATAATAAATATATAATTTTTTTTAAAAAATTGTAAACAAATGTAATGTTGACACTCTTTAGGATTCTCTAAACTAATTGTCATTAGCATATAAAAATTTACAGAAAATAAACTAAATAAAACCCAATGATTTCATATAACGTTATCACAAATTGGCCAAAAATGTCCGATTTTTAGAATTAGAATTGCTTATAAAAAATAATTAAATTATATCTTCAAAAATATAATTATGCTAGATCCGGATTTGATAATAACCTGTTTTTTAAGCATAAAGTCTTTCTAATAGTTTTCTCCTTCAAAGACATTCTATTTTTCATTATCATAATTGTGTTCCTATTGAGAACAACCGCTCACATGAAGCGAAGATCCCTCAGTTGCCATTTTCGATAACACAGGAAAACGATCCCCATGCAATCTCCACTTAATTCATTAAGATACTAGTTGATAACCCATCAAGAATAACGGGAATAAAAAAATCATGAACTATTATACAGGAAATTTTTTTTTGAGAACATTCAGTGAATTTTCTAAAATTTGGAAGTAAATTCCATTAAATAAGGAGATTAAAAGTATTTCTTTTTTCCATTATCTATATAAAAATAGCTAGTAGTAATTGAGGTATCGTTAATAGCCTGGATAACCTGATCAAACGCATGTCGCTGTAAAACATTTAGATAACATTACCATTGCGACATCTGCTTCTATTATTGTCATATAAATTAGATTGAGTGATAGGGTCAGGAGATGGAAGATTAAAATCGTTGCAATTGAACCCAGGACAATCTACACAGGTTAGAAGTATGGAGGATATTCCTGTGGTAGCAAAGGGTAAGACATTTTTTTGTTGTTCTCTAAGATGGTGTAGTATTATAAAGATATTTCGTCTTACCTGATCCACCAGGAGCATCTATATAGAAAAATCTGGTAGTAATTGAGGTATCGGCAATAGCCAGGATAACCTGATCAAAAGCATGTCGTTGTAAAACATTAACTTCTTACATAAAGATTTTATGAAAAATATACGTTCACCATCGCAAAATATGGTAGTAAAAAAAATTTTTTTTTATCTCAACCACAATATGGGAACTTTGCAAATAGTTTAAAATACCTATTTATCAATATCTTCCCATGCCAGAAAATTAACCTTCCACACTAATAATAAGTACTTATTATAAATTAGATTTAACAAATAAATTTAAATTATATTTAGCCAATTGAAAAATAAACAGTTATCTCATATTACCACCCCAAAATATGCCAGTATTCTCAAACAATATTTGAACTCTGAAAATGACATACAATACCAATTTATCAATATCTACCTACATTTTTAAATATTCTGTATCTTAAGAATCTCAAATAAATAAATAAAGTTTGCTTAGTTAATAAAGAAAATTATTAAACATCTGTTTAATTACTGTCTCTTATATGCTGGGGCCTTTGGCAGATATACTATTATGTCCTGTTGTAATCATTTCGTTATTAATATCAACATGTGAAATGCAGATTGAGTATGGGTCAGTTGAGACTTTAAAATTATTTTCTGATAACCAGGTAAGCTCAAACATGATTTAAATCTTGTGCCAACCTGATGGTGATTTATTCTTTAATAATATCTATAAAAATTAAACATTTTTTTAATTACTGTCTCCTATTTTTGGGGCCTTTGGCAGATGTACTATTATGTCCTGTTGTAATCATTTCGTTACAATTTTTTTAATTAAAATAAAAAATGGTTGATTTTAAAATTAAAAAATATAAATAACTATAAACCAATAAAATAAGAGCTTAATAAGCCAATAAAAATAAAGATTAATAAGCCAATAAAAATAAAATTGCATAACAATAACATATATAAGAAAGATTATATTAAAAAATTTAATATAGAAGGTGGCTGAGTGGGAAAAACGTTTGCCTTTAAAACGTTAAGTCATGGATTCGAATCCCGTTATGTACAAAAAATTTTCTTAAAATTTAACATTAGAGAGATATAGTCTCCATCGATTTATTTAACATTAAGAAGATAGGAAAGTTAATAGGAAAAATAAAAATTAACATTAAGAAGATAGGAAAGTTGTTAAGAAAAATAAAAATTAACATTAAGGATATATAGGATATACGAAAACGTTCATTTCTTGATTACGGTGATTATATATATAGATGTTTCCACCTCATATATTGATGCGATGTTATTTTGTTTGAAAATTCTATTAATGTTAGACTGTACTATTGTACTGTATTGATATTATATTTCACTTTGTATTCATTATATAAATCCTTAAATTTTTCTAATAGAGTTGTCGTATCTATGTTATATGATGTTAATAGTTGTTCAAAAAATTCCATTTTTAGTTTAGGATCTAATATTGTTGATATTATAGTATGAATATTTGTTAAGATAATAATTTTCTATTTTCTCAATCGCACTGATAGCGTTTATAAAATTGAGATCAAACGAATTTAAATGTTCGATTAACGACTTGTTCATAACACCAAAAATGATTAAAGAAACCATAAAATAAAATAATTATATTTTAGTTTACTTTGCTGGGACGTTTCCCTTTCCATAACTTTATCAGAAAATATAAATTATGTATGATTTGATAATAAGAAATAAAATAAAACGGAATGATATCCACTAGGAAAATTTAATTACTTCTACTTATAATAAAATATATACGAAAAATTAAGAATATTTATAAATAAATAATTTCGAATAATACGAATAATTGTGCTATTCATATTAGTAAAATGCGAATTGAATCGAATCTAATTTCGAATAACAAATAATTCGTTTTAGGCCTAAATATGACATACGCCTTTTTAAAATTTAAAAAAAATATATTTTTTAGACACATCCTAAATTAAAAAAATAAATCTCGAATATTACACGAATTCAACGAAAAAAAAATAAAGCCATTTTTAATGTAAAATTAAAGAATTGTGAAAATTTTCACAAGTTATGCAATTCTTAAAATTTTGATTAATGAAACTTTGAATTATTATTACATCAAAAAATTTCCACCAATAGCCACACGATCGCATATTTATTATTTTTTAATAAAAAAATAATATAAAAAATTTTCACTAGTTTTATTAACTTAAATAATTAAAATACTATATTATCTGCAACTTTGATTTTTTTATCGTTATCCACGGGCAATCCTAAACATTTTATATATTATGATAAAAACAAAATAACAGTTTTTTTTGAATTTTTCTAAAAAAAATTTATTTATTAATCATTTATTGATGACGAATAATTTTAGTTTACTGAGATTTAAGCTAAATTTTACTTACCACTCACTGGGTTTTAGTTTTTAAATAAGATTATTTATTTTTACGATTCGGTTAGTCTTATTACAATTACAATTTTAAATATGTTTTTGTAATTTTTCCATTAGACGTCCTTATTCACTTCATTACGCTTCCTTTAAACTGCTCTCAATGTTTAAAGCTATAATATAAAATTTCCACTTTTAACTTTGCTAGTGTTTTTTAAGTAGTATAAGAAGGGAACTCCGAATAGTTTTCGTTTGTCTTTTCGATATGGGTAGATCGCAGAGTCTGGTGGACATTTTAATTTTTTGGTATTTTCATTTTATTCTTATAAATATCCAAAAAAATTATTTGTTAGCCTTAGTACTCTCTAAGAATGCATTCACCTTTAATTGATTATTTATCAAATCACATGGTATAGAATATAGATTGATATTGTATAGTTTATAATTTGCTTTATTTTTTAAACATAAAAGGTTTCATAAAAACGAAGGTATAATTGTCTTAGGAGCAACTAATAGAAAAGAAGATTTAGACAAGTATAATTATATAATACCTCGTATTTACTTAACATGAGCCTGTTTAGTTAAAAATGGAATTTTTAAAAATGTATATTATTGCTAGTTTTTCTTAAAAAAGACCATCTTATCCAAAATAAAATTAAAATGAATTACGGGTCTCTACTTTTAAAAAACTGATTGTATTTTGATTGAATCGTTCACTAAGTAGTATAAAGGAGGTCAAATAATTGAAATAATTAATTTAAGAAGGATGTAAAATTTATCTACTTTCCAAAAGCAAAGCTTTTTTCTCCTCTAAAAATAACATGTAAACAATACTCGTTTATTGAGCCATAAAGTGTACATGTAAGCCTGGTCCATAACATGGCCTACTCATATTTCATTTTTAATTTAATTTTTAATCGAGGTGGGATGTAGGTCTATAATAGAATATCATTAATAAAATATCCTAATATCTAGGATTTATGTAATATGTATGGGTTATACAAAACCAATATAAAATTTAAGAATCAATAGCAGAACTGGACGCTCTAAATAATTATTGTGGATTCTTTTAAGGTCGTTTTGTGGAAGTTCATATATTAAGCCCTGATCTCAATGAAAGAACTGATATATTTAAAGCACATTAATGAAATTATTTTTTAAGAGCTTTAATTAGACCAGGACGTTTTGATATGGAAGTTCATATATCAAGCCCTGATCTCAAAGGAAGAACTGATATATTTAACTATTACTTGGATAAAGTCAAGACTAATAAGGATGTTGACGCGATTCAATTGGCTAAAGGCACCACCGGTTATACAGGTTTTTTTTATTTATTGACATAACCTCTCTGGGGTATTTATATTTAAAAATAAAATTCTCTTATTTTTTATACGATTCTTTTCTTCTGAGTAAAAAAGATTTATTAATAATTTAATAACATTTATATGAATAAGCACCTTTTATATAATGCAGAAAATTAATTTCGGACACAATTATATCATTTATAATTTAAGTTTTACTAAATAATGATTTAGATAGGGGGATAAATTAACCGATTAATGGCATTGTTTCTATATCGAATAAATTTTATAATTATGAAAATTTCTCCCTTTTTAAAATTATGTGATAAAATATTTTTTAATGTTAAGATAAAAGAAACTTTTAACTACCATATTCCCTCACTTGATATTTATATTTTTCCAATATTTCCTATGAATTAAATCTATTTCTTTAACATTAAATTTCTACCTCCAATTATTTTTTAATTACTAAATGGTTTAGAAAAATATTTATTGGTTTATTATTTTTTACTCTGTCTTAATCTCTTTTATTCCTAAAATTTTCTTAATTCATAATTTTCTTATTCATTTGGTGCTTCTCCTCTTTGCAGGCTTATCAAGGAGGCCTTGAATTTTACCCCCTAATTTAATGGTAACCGCTTATTTCCATTTGTCTCTGATTTCTTTCATTGATTCTATTTCCTTGCCGTACTCAGGTTGCCACCCTGTTTTCAGCCATTTAAAGAGCTTCCTAATTCCCATCTTTCAATCTGCGTTAAGACAGTTTGTCTCATGATTTAATTAACCTTTAAATACTTCTAAAGGCAAAAAACATGACCTCGAATAGCTGTATGCGATTCAGAGTAGAGGAATAAGTAGATGTTATGAACGACGAATTCCTAATTATCATTGGCCATAGGCTAGGTTGCCTTATTCATTCCTTTGGTACTTGTGCTGCCTGTAGCAAGCAAGTAGACACATTTGGTAGGGGATGTTTCTCTTTTCTTTAAGTCGGCCACCGCTTTTGCGGTACTACGATCTCAATAGTTTGATCGGTAAATCTTTGATTTCCGTCAGTTTTCCAATAGTTTGCTCTTAGGACTTTTAAATGACAATGGCAAGCGTCCTTATGTCATGTCTTTACCATTTTGCTGCTGCGGTAAACGATGTGTTCAATGCATTACCTCATTCCCATCTAATTGGAACTCCAAGAGGTCAGAAAAATATAGGTTTCTAAATTCCTTCATCCTTATTCCTATAAGTAATCCCGCTCCACAATCCCAAAATATCAATAAGGACTGGGGAAAAAACTATTCCCTTGTAAAATAAAAAATTCAATTCGAGATTCTAAGAAGGAATATTTTTTGAAATACTTCCTTATCCCTCATAGCTTCCCCTTTCCCCATAATACATATTTCAATTTTTTAATCATGTTAACTCTTTTTTTATTAAAAAAAATATGCAATACCTATTTCTAAAGCTATTTTATAGCTAAAATTTCCGCATTTAATATAATATTTAACTAGTTATTGTTTTTTTTATACTAGACTTTATAATCTCATTAGTATAGCAATAAATATTAACGATTTAAACATAATGCACAACATACATTTTAAAACCATTAGTTATACAGGAATATTTTTAATATTACGATATTGTTTTGAATTCAAATATTTAACGGGAACTAATTGACAGAAATATTTTTATTATTGAATGGAATAGACAGCGAATTCAATTTTTTTTAGCCCGGTTTGCCCAAAATTTGTATTAATATTTATTTTAGGCTCGGTCCTAAATTAATAATGGAAAAATATTAATTAATTTTTATAAAGTTAAATAAAATATAAATCACTAATAGCTTTGTCCTAATTCCAAATAAATATTAGTATCATTTATTTAAATAAATGAACCGACATTATATTTTTTGATTTTTTTAAAACCCGGACCTTGACCGAGTTTTAAAAAAGAAATAATAGGTTTGAGTGCGACTTTGGGTCGACTTGCAGGGTTTTAGGATGAAGCGCTTAATTAATAGTAATTAAAACAAATGGGGGAAAAATAGATTATCCCTAATATATTCTTAGCCTGCATAATTGTATAATATTATTAATAGTTTGGATATAGTTAATGGAGGTCTGCAAATGGCAACTTATTTTCGCCCGGACCTGTTTTTTTAAATATAAGGTCTCGCTTGAAATATATATAGTTTAACACCAAAATAAGCAACTATTTATAATATTGGGGAAACACTATATTATATAGATTTTCACTTCTATCAAATATCAGAATTCATCAGTAAAACCAAATGTAGGGATAGGAAATCGTATCTGTGAATGAGCAGGTCATAATTTAATAATTGAAATTATAAAATATTTTATTTTAACAAAATTAGGCCTTGGAACTAAGCGGGCTGGGCATCTCCACTTTTTGCCCACCCAGCCTATTAATTTCTTTGCCCGTCCCAAATTTCTATTATTTTACAACTTAATATTTTTTTATATTATTAGAAAATGTATTCGATACTTGTTTTTAATTTTAAAATCATTTATATTAATCATTCATAAATAATATTCGAAAAAAGGTGCGGATATTGAAAATTTAGTTAACCAAGCAGCCCTAAGAGCAGCAAAAGACAGTTTGCCCAACGTTAATATGCGTTATTTGGAAAATGCTAGAGACAAAATTTTAATGGGTATTAACGCTTTTGATTATTTCATTTATAAAATTATTAGTATATTTATATAAAAATTTGTTTTCCGTTAAAACGATAAATAATTAAATATTTTTTTCACATAAGGACCCGAAAAAAAGTCAAGAATACCGGACAAAGAGAGCAACCGAATAACAGCTTATCACGAAGCTGGACATACATTGGTATCTTACTTTACTAAGGATTCATTGCCATTACACAAAGTCACTATTATCCCTAGAGGATTCTCCTTAGGACACGTATTTATTTATTTATAGATAATATATTTCATAAAGATAGATCAAACATGTTTATTTTTAGAACAATAAATGGTAAATTTGATTTTCACTCATATTTATTTGATTGAATGATTTTTACTTTAAGTAAACTAATAGGTAATTTTTATAGACAGCTTCTCTTCCCGATAAAGAAATGTATTATCAAACCAAAGCACAAATTTTGGCAGCATTAGACGCTATCCTGGCTGGAAGAGCTGCTGAGGAATTGATATTTGGCTCAGAGAAAATTACATCTGGTATAAAAAGATATTATAGTTTTTTTTATTATAACAAAGACCTGCATGCCCGGCTTGGGTGAAATAAACAAATAAAAATCTCTAAATAGATCTGGGGGAGTTAGAAAATAATGTGTAAAAAATTATGTTTTACCAAATATGTTCATACCTGACAATAACATTTTTTAAAGCTGTTTCGATCCACAAATTTTTGACCGATCCGATAGATTAAGTTTTTAACACCTATCTTTGAACCAATATCATAAAAATATCAATATATTTTCCATCAAAAAAGTCAACTAACTTTTCACGAGTGATTAAGTGTATACTTTTTTTTTATATTCTCTATAAGTAAATCATCTAATTTAAAATTGGGAAATGTTTATAACTGAATCTGAATGTGACTCATTAGATACTTTTAAATCTTTTTATAATTTTTAACTACATCTTAAAATATTAGATTTTTTAAAACATTACAAAAAGTTGAATTTTTGTTATTTTTTTTTATTATTAAATTATTTATAAAATTAAAATATATATATAAGTTTATACAATCATAAAATAACCAAAAACTATGAAAATATCGGATCGGTTTTTTCATAAATTCGGCCCCGATCCGATATTTAATATTGGCACCACCCTAGAATTTAGTTTTTACACATTCAGTTCAGTAGGAAAAGCAAACCGATATCATCCACTGCCTATTTCTTGAATAAAACATTAAATTGATTTGCATATTATAATATTAAAACATTAAATTAGCTGATATGCTATAATATTAAAATATTAATTTGGTTTAATGTTATAATATTAAATATTCATAATTCATGTCTAAGATCCTATGCTTCATTAATTTTATAAAATATTATGGGTTTTATTCTTATATAAGCTTTAAACAATTATGAAATAGTTTTTATTCATTACAAACTGCATCTACATTTATTATTCTGGATATTTTATTTTTAAAACTGTTATTTTATATTTCCACCGTTCTAAATTTTTTTTAGGTGCATCAGATGATTTAAAGAAAGCTACAGAAATCACAACCGAACTCGTTAAATCCTGGGGCATGTCTGATAAAGTATTTCGATATTTATATGATATCTAAAATTTTTTTAGTAACACTTAAATACAAATACAATCTCTTTCATATAAACTATTGGTTTGTATTTAAAACAGGTAAGAAGAACCAAACGTTGGGCAAGAAATTCACCTTTTTCCCCTCATATTAAATTTAGAAGAAATATATAAAATAAATACTTGAGCATTGACTAATTCTTTTTAAATTTAAGTTTTGTCAAATCTTCTTATTTTATTAAATGTTAAGGTTTCAGTTCAGGTTGAACTGTCAAGAGATAAAAAGTTTTACCTAAAATTGTTGAATCATCTAAGTAAACTAGATTTCCAGTTATTCCTCTGCCTCATAAAGAAGATGCAGCAAACTCATAACTAATTGAAAATATAAACATCATCCAAACCATCTCCATTTCTTTAGGGCCGAATCGATATTGTCAAAATTGGCACGAGATTGGCTGATAATTTTTTTATGCATATGTATCTTTAGCCATATAGCATCACAACTTAAATTGCTCATATAAGCTTTTGCGAGTATCATCAGGCCATGATAGCAAAATTATTAGTGGTTTATAAACCATTAAAAACAATCATTCTCTCGAATATTGTTTATCTCTTTTTCATGATTACCTCTAAGACTCTAACCTACCACCTATATTATAATTTGAATTAGCCTTTTCATACATTCTCTTTTTTGAATTGTTGATTTGGTTAGAGCTGAAAAAAAATTCCTTAATGGGCCCTTCTATCAAAGATTGTTTAAAATGGTTCCAGAGAATTATTTGCTTGCATGACATCTAATACTCGGTTCACACAAAAATCACAATATCAAATTTGATTTTTTATATTATTTTTAATTTATAAATGATTATATTTATTTAATTTAAAAAAAAATTTCGTTCAATGAATATTTTTATTGTTTTTTATTTAATATTAACAAGGTGGTCATTAAACCGATTGAAATATTTTATTGGGTCCAATTGTTTATAATTATTAAATTTTGAAGTATAATTTTAAAAAATTTAATTTCAGTATCGCATTATGTTAAAACAAAACAGTGGCCCAATCTTTGGCTAACTATCATTCTCTTCAGGCCCATTCATACCGGGTTAATGAGTAATCGATTTAAAATTTTACATTTGTTATGATCTCAGATACGCTAAAATAAATTATCCTGTTTTCCTAAGCATCTTATAGATTCTTTTTTCTAAAAATAAGTGAATTGTAAGTAGGGCCGAAATCTGTCAGACTATGAAAAAATTTTCTAGTCGGGCTGATTTAATTTTTTTTATCCTAAACTACTACTGACGGTTCGAATTTCAGAATTTTATTATTCAACTCTACTATATAATTAATATTCATTTTAATCTAATTCTTATGTAATTAAATTATATCTTTTTTATAGTTTTAGTTTTTTCCCCATTGCAATTGAATTCTATATATATTTTAAAAAATATATAAAGGTGGGTCTTAGAGTTTTTAAGGATAACTCCAATGCGTTTGTTAATGTTAGTGAACTAGGAGAAACTATGACAGAATCAATTGATGCCGAAATTAACCGTTTATTAAATGTAATTTTTAATGATTTTTCTAAATTATAAGCTTTAAATAGTTGAATTTAAAAGATTTTAAAAAATAAAATTATTTCTTATTAATTTTTAAGTAAATAATTCATATTAAAAAGACATGATCGAGCATAATATAAAAGGGTATTTTTATTTTAAAACAGCTCATATAATCAATTTTTCATAGCTAATAAATAATATCAAATTTTTATTGATTAAGACAATATTTTTCACTTTGTCTAAACTAGTCGTTTATAGTAAACGTTATGATTGTTAAATGATGCGATAATCAGTTATACAATAACATAGTATTATTTATTTGATAATCCAAGTATCTTGAAGCGATTTCGCGCTATTTTCGCAAATACAATTTAATCTATTGTTAAATGAATACATTCTATACATAGGAATCTTATGAAAGAGCAAAAAGTCTTCTGAAAAATCATACTAAAGAACATCATTTATTGGCACAGGCATTGTTAAAATATGAGACCCTAAATGCTGATGATATCAAAAATGTTATAGAAGGCAAAACTCTTATCAAAAACATTTGATTACGAATTCTAATTTGTATATTTTTATTATGAATCTTATGATTGAAATTTTATATATTAAAAATTGTATTATCTCACCATAGATTTGTAATATTCTAGCAAATGGAAAAGGCTTTTATATAGGACGCTGATTTTACCCAAAAAGCTTTAAAAAAATAATGGTAAATAAATATTTTTTATATTAACTTGTTTAATTCATAAAATTGCGAAGGGTGGACATTGTATAAAATAATATTACTTGCTGGCTGCAAGCTTATTTTAGAACATTTTTTTTAGTTTTAATTATTTTCTTTATCGTGAGAGGTCAGTTTGATATGATGATCTAACATTAGATTATTTAAGCTAATATTAATTTATTACACCAAAATTTAAAAATAATATAACATTTTTTTAAGGTATAGCGATTTAGCATAGGAAGCAGAACTAAATAATCTTTATCCTAGCAATGGTGAAAAACATAATTATATTGTAAAAAACAGCTTCTTTCACCCATGAAAAGTTTATCATATAAATATCAGTTTTTCTCGAGTTCAATTTACTACTTTTATCAGAATAATTTAGCAGCGAAATTTTCATAGCAAAAAAGTATCCATTTATATTTGAGGCATTTTATTTGTTGCTCTTAATACCATAATAATGTGGAATCACCTCGTTCACCCACTATGAATTATCTTAGATGACGGTTTGTTACTAAGCTTCATGCTATAGAAGAAAAATAAGGATAAGATATTGTACTTAAGTGCAGAAATATATTCAGAATTTGATGCAATGCCTGCTTATGAAATCATTTATATAGAAAGTTTTATTATGCAATCAAATAATGGCTAGCCATAATTAATTTACTTATTACATTTTATTTAATTTCACTAAATTGGATAGCCACTTGTCAATAAATTTCGACTTTCATCACATCTTTTTGCAATACCTATTGACTACTGACGTAGAAAAAAAACATTAAAAAAAATTGTTTTTATACATGAAAAAACGGCAAAATAAATAAAACATACATTTTAACGTAATTTTGTAACCCTAAAATAAATTTATAAAATAATTTCTTTACAAAACAATTTAATTTTATCATCATATCTACTTTAAAAACATTTAATAATATAAAACTTGATAAAAATCATGCATAATAATAAATAAATCTTATAAAATATTATGCCAACTATTTTTTAGTTACCAAAAAGGAGCTATAATTATATTTGAACATATTAATTTGCATTTTTTGCCCTACAAAAAGAAATTCTTTTGGGTCTTGATTTTTGAGCATAAATGTTTTGAAAATTTGTATATTAAGAGAAAATGTCAGTTTTTTTATTATAAGATTGGCGTGAACGTGTTTTTTCCTTTTTTAGCTGTTAGTAAAGAAATCGAATTCATTTGCAATAAAATATTAATGAGTAATATTCTCTATAAATATTGTAGTAGTAATAAAAAATTGATATAAAACAGAAATTTATTACTATTCCTGATAATATTGATCCATATATTATTAAAATATTTCCAAATTATCAGAGATCCGTGTACTCGAGCCGGGTGGTAAATTTAAAAATAAATAAACCGATGCCGACCCTAAAAATTTGTTTTTTAAATATCTGTGTTAAGCCTAAAAAATTTTGCTTAAATTCATTCACTTATGAAAATGTTTGCCAAAAATATGATTACCAATAAAGATAAATATATATTGAATTAAAATAAAATAATATTTTATTATCTCTCCTTTTTTAGTTATTAAATGAAAAATAATCAATCATTTTAGAATAAAGGAAATAATTTGAAAAGTTAATATATATGGATTTTGTATTCGATGAAAAATAAATTTTTGTCATTTCTGGGTAATTTTTATTTTAAAAAGGTTGAAAATTTTTTCCAAAAAAGGTTTACTAAAAAAAAGAGATAATGATAATTATCAATACTGTAAAGTAACCACGTTTCCTTTTTTGAAGAATAGAAACGCCATTCATTACCTTCTTCTAAAGGTGACGATAACGCGTTTCATTTTTGAGTAACGGTAAAAAAATTTCTTAAAAAATATCAAAAAAGAAAAACATATTTTATTGTACTATAAAATTGCTTTTATTTATTTTTTAATATAAATAATTCAAGCCGAGTTTTTAATTCACCACCATTCTTTCATTTTTATTTTAAATTTTTGTTAAATTTTCAATCGAATGTTAATTTAATTAATATTCAATCAAAATTCAAAGTATATGTTAATAATAATATTATTCTATTATACAATTTATTTTAAGAATATTATGTCCATAACTTACTAGAAGTCTGCAATGGGCGGGTTTTTAGCCAAAAAGCCCGCACACTCGTTTTAGAATTAACCCTCCCTCCCTTTTATTTATAATTATTTGAAAGAAATTTATCCGCCCGCTCATTTATCTATAAATTTTGTTTAATCCGCCCGCTAGCCTAATGTTCAAAAATTATTTTAATGGCTGGTTTGGTTCTTTATTTATTTTAATGTATTTTTAATTAAACATATTTAATATGCAATATTATGAAATGAAACTAGCAATAAATTAAGTCTGTTCTGCTAATTTCGTCTGAAAAATATCAAACCCATTACTTTAAATTTTTTTTAACCCTTTCAATGTTAAAAATATTTTAAAAAACCTGTCCACACCCATTCAAAGCTAGTACTTCTTCAAATGAATATAATTTAACCCTTATCTGGCCTCAATTTGAAACATATTTTCACCAATGAAGAAAATTAAGGGTACAAAGTTTACACTTTGTAAATGTAAATTTTGCCCCAACTCAAATATTTTAACCTCAATTTCCAGCAGTTCAAACTTAAAAAAGCATGTGAAGGTAAAAAGATGAATTAATATATTATTATTTTAAACATTACTTTAATAATAGAATACTAAATCGTGGGTATATAAAATAACTATTTAAAAGAATAATTCTTTCATAATATTTTGAAAATATAATCATTAAATTAAAATATAAGCAATTAAATTATGCTATAGTATAGGGTTGGGAACCAACATTAAAACTCCGAGATTAACAAAATATTGGCATTATTTCTAAATATTATATTCAGTTTAAACAATATCTTATATTTCTTGTGTTAGTATTTCTACTGGTTTAACTTCAAATTGTTAATAAATTTAAAGAATAAAATATAAAAAACTTTGTTTAAATAAATATATATATGGAATAAAACTGAGCAATATTGTTTTAGAACCTAGATTTTTTTGTTGATTCCTTTTTAAATGATAATTCTGAAAAAGAAAAATATTTAAAAATTATTTTTGGCAATCATAATTTCAATTTTAATGTTTTCCTTGAGAATAAGCTTAGTGAAGGATTAAAAGCTGCAATTAAATTTTTAAAACTTTTATCTTCAATTATTGAAAAAGCTAAGTTATTTTTAATAAAATTCAGGAATTAATAATATTTTAATTAAATTATAGACTGTATCCTCAAAAATGAAAGATTTTTAAAAAATTGAAACCAATCAAAACATACTCATTGTGATGCAGAATTTACATAGAAGATAAAAATAGCACAATAAGTTGTTGATAAATTAGTTTCAATTGTAAAAAGCACTGCATTTATTAATATTCAAAAAATTGCAGCCAACTAAAAATGTTATGACTAGGCTTACCCTTGTATTAAAAATTAACAAAGCATATGACACCATGGCTAAAAAATTAATGTATTTATTGTGTATCCCAAAAAAAATTGTCTGTACAACTATGAATTATTTCTTAGATTATCATCTGTATATAAAATCTAGATTGCAAAGTTGTTAAAAGATACTTTTAAATGGATCAAGATACAGATACATCGTCTAAAAATTTATCTAGATACAGATACAGCTTCTAAAACGTTATCTTGATACAGATACAATTTAAAATGTATCTATGTACAGATACATTTTTTATTATACTCTTAGATAAGGTTTGAATAAACCTAAATTAGGATTCTATTATAAAAATTCATGAAATGATCTAAAAAATTTATTGACTCGACACATATATCAAAATATAACTAAAATAATAATTTTTAGATATTAATATAATATATGATTAATATAAATAATTATTATATATCATTAATAAAATAATATAATATATGATTAAATAATTATTAGATTTCAGCAGAGTTGTTAAAGGATCTAGATACAAGTATCTAGATATAAAAATGTGGTATCTGTATCTAGATAGATTTTTGATTAAAATATCTGTATGATTAAAATATCTGTATCTAGATATTATTTTAGACCATGTATCTGTATCTAGATCCATTTAAAAAGTATCATTTAACAACTCTGAATTTCAGTAACAACCACTGTCTGTCGGCAAATTATGTTTTTAATGTTTTGATCATTTTTATAAATGAAGGATTTTCAACAATTGAAAATAGCTGAATGCTATCTATAATAAAATCAGTTATTAAATCATCTAAAGTGGTTTGGGTTAAAGTCTGAGGTCTCTTGGAAAAAAAATCAATAGACGATGAGCCTAGTCCAATATTTTCTTTAATAGATTTTTTCACCTTCCCCTTTTTTATTTGGATTAAGAATGTTTGATGTTTTCTCTTAAAATTAAAATTGTAAACATTTATTTAGTATCTATACCTTAAATGTTTTACAATGTTGCAAGTTGAGGTAATGCTAACTAACATTTGCATATTTTTTGGTAGACATGGCAAACATTTTACTAACAAAAATTTGTTTTCTTTATTTTGAGATATTATTTTAAAATATGGTCTATAAATTGGCCATGGAAGAATGTCGTCATTTTCGTCATTAATAATATTAATCTTAAAAATTAATATAATAGAATAAAATAAAATACCAATTCCATTAGGTCCGTGAAGTTGTAAGAACGATGTAAGGATCAATTAACAAAACCTATGCCATTATTTAGAGTCTTAATTGATCCTAATTGATCTTCAAACCAGACATCAGCAGAATTAAAGGTTTTTGAGTTATAAGCAAAATAATAAAAGTGCGAAGATTTGCAGCTGTAAGAATGATTTGAGGATCAATTACCGAAACTTATATCA